GGGATGGAGGAGCTGAGGGGGTCGTGCACCCCCTTGTCCCCATGGGTGGAGGCTTCTCGTACTGCACTTTGCACCCACCGCCTCCGGCCCTCCCGCTGGGCGCCGCTGGGAAGAGCCCGGCTCCGTCCGCGCTGCTCTCCATCGGCACATGCCCCCGAGCCGCCCCTTCCCCACGCTGAACAGCCCCGGCTCTCCCTCTGGCAGATGCTCCAAGCCCTCACCCTGCCTAGCACCGTGTGCTGCCGCATTTTCCCCACCCGGAGTGTTCAGCCACCACCGCCACATCTTAAGTCACTTTTTGTGGGGTGCCTTCACCTTTAATAACCCTTAATTCATTTGCCCCCTTTATATGTTTCCAGTTGCTTACTGAACCTCTTTAGGCTCGGCGCATCCTTATCCCCCCTCACAGCAGGATTTGGCTGCCCACCCCGGAAAGAGCCACCTCCTGTGCTCTGCTTTGCATATAGCACTCCCCTGGCTCATGCTACCTCTGCCAAAGAGGACAAATTGTTCCCTTCTCCACTCAACTCTCCCTTTATAAAACCACATTCTATCTGCTTTCAATTGTCCTTTCTGTTTTTCCAAGCCGTAATCCAAGGAAATAATTCCTCATATGGAAACTGTTCTGCAACACTGATTCCCATCCTTCTTTCACTGCTGTTTTTGTCCTCCTGTGTCCTCTCCTGGATGGGGCCAGGGCTTGTGCCCCATACATTTATGTAATGGTACTAAGCTGTTTTCTGATTTGTTCTGTTCTTAATTCCTACAAATTCCTAGTTCAGTTGTTTTTCTGCCCACTAAAAACACTGGGGCTCACATTGTCATTTCTGAGATGCTCAGACAGTATGATGCAGGGGGCTAGGATTGTTTCTTTCCAAAAGTACTGCTGTAAATGTATCGGTACTGACTTTAATCTTTTTGCATTCATTTTTCATGCTACACATACTTACGATTGTCACTTACCTTGGTCACCCATTTTCACACCACTTACAGAAAATGGTGGAGGGCAAGGGTCCTTGCAGAACCCCATGAGTGACTTCCAACATGAAATCCAGCCACTTTTTCCTGGTTTTTAAGCAGTTATGTAACCACCATGCACCCTTCCTCTCATCCTAAGGTGATTTCATTTCCTTAAGAAACTTTTACTAAGGAACTTCTCAAATGTCTTATGTCCTGGATGTCAGAGCAGGACTTTTCATCAGGGACTGCAGTGGTAGGACAAGGGGTAATGGGTTTAAACTTAAACAGGGGAAGTTTAGATTAGATATAAGGAAGAAGTTCTTCACAGTGAGGGTGGTGAGGCACTGGAATGGGTTGCCCAAGGAAGTTGTGAATGCTCCATCCCTGGCAGTGTTCAGAGCCAGGCTGGACAGAGCCATGGGTGACATGGTCTAGTGTGAGGCAGCCCTGCCCATGGCAGAGGGGTTGGAACTGGATGATCTTAAGGTCCTTTCCAACCTCAACTATTCTGTGATTCTATGATTCTATGAAATGCGAGCAGGCTACATGCACCCAGGTTTCTTATCTGTACCTTAAGACCTCCAGAAACTTTGTTGAGGCACAATTTTCTTTAAGAAAATATGACGTATGAATTCTTCCATGATATGTTTTGTTCCTTTGACCACTTTTCTGTTCTTTTTTTGGAATGGTTTCGGCCAGCTTGTGTTGTGCGGGCGTCAGAGCTGCTTTTCCTTCTGGAATGTTTTTAAATGTTAATCTTGCACTGTTCATCTTCCATTTGGTGCTAGGACAGTTTCCTACAGCACCCAAGTTCCCAATCCAGATTTTTGATACTTGATGGCCTGCCACACTCTGTGGAGAGCTGCCTGCCCTGGTGACATGTTTGGTTTGTCCTTTTGATGCTTTACTCTGTTTCTGCCAGTACTTCAGCCCCACACACACTGCCCCTCAGTGCGGGTGTTGGGGCACAGTTGGCCGTGGGCTGCCTGCACCAGGCAGGCAATGGTGAACTCAATGCTTGATGCTTTCTCTGATGCTTCAGGCTCTCTGTGGCAGGCTGTGCCACCTGGGCTAGCAGCACTGACGTCCTGAGGCCCTGAGGAACTTTGGACTCTTCATTCTTGTTTCACAGCCACCATCCAGCTGAGAAACATGTCAGATGAAATGAACTGTGACAGAAGGTTCATACAAATAACCACGTTTTGTCATCGTTGTACTCACTTATAGATACTTATGATTCTGTTTCTAAACCATCAGACACATTAGCTACTCTAAAAGAAAAGTACCAAATAATTTCCTTTATTAAAGTGTATGTTTAAGCGAAAGGCTTTAATTTGGATGTCTACAGAGAACTAATGTTCTGCACAATCAGACTGGTTTTGCACAGAACAGGAGACCTTAATTTTAATGCTTACAAAACAAAAAGATGAAAGGGTTTAGAGTACCTGGTTTTGTCAACTGAAAGAGAAGATTCAGAGGAGGAGTCTGGAAGTGTTTGTTGCTACAGTGTAACTTCTATTTGGGCTCAGTCCTGCAGTTCTACCTCACGTGTGTGCTCTTAAATGACCAGCGAAAACAAAGAATCAAGAAATAACTGAGAAACATCCATGAAACTTCAACATATTGGTTAACAGGACATCAATCCAGGACACCATTAAGCTGCAATGACAGTGACGGTCAGTAAAGTTTCCTATGTTTGAACAAGACTTCAAAATACAGAAGTGGAAAAATAAAATTAAAAAAAACCCCAAACAACAAAACCAGTGACTTGAACTTAAATTCAAAATCAAATTTGAATAAACAGCTTCACAGATGTGTTTGTTCTGGAGTTCCTCTGCAAGAGCTGTAGCTGATGTGAGCAGGCAAGGATGAGCACTATCTAACTAAAAATGAGCTATGAACATTCAAGTATCACTAAATATGGCCTGATTTTGCCTGTCTTCCTCACAGAGCACAAAAGTCAGCCTCCTGATGGCTTCATTGCAGGTAGGGAGTGAGAAGCTACTCAGTGCAAAGAAGAGGTGCAGAATCAGGACCACGATGAGCAGCAATTACAAAGTCAACTACTTTCTCGGAAGTTTCTCAGGGCTAGATTTTTAAAAGCATTAACAACAACTATTGGAAACTAACAGCAGAGTCACTGCTGAATGGCATCAAGTGCTAAAATATATTGGTAGGTCCCTAAATGCCTTTAAAAATCTGTCCCCAGTGCACAATTTCCTTCTTTAACAGGGGAAAAAAGGAGAATCACTTGAATGTCAGTGAATTCATTGAGCCAGACTTTGGGAAACTGCTGTCCCTTCCAGATTTGCACTGTGACTGCTCTGTCAGAAGCCAGAACACTTAAAACAGTCCCTGGTGGTATTTATTGCCTAGCCTGAACCCCGTGTTTCTGCACAGAGCACATGGACGCTGTGCTGCCCGCTCCTGACTCCCATGGAAATCCTGTGCAGCCAGTGTGGATGCCAAGAGTTGTGCTGCTCTGCTCGGCTGCCAAATCTGATCTTGGGCAAAGCTCAACTGAGCTCCAGAGGAGTGGAATGGTGGTAAGTGGTATGTCGTTCTTGGAACTGAACCATTGTGTTCACTCTTAAGAGCACTGGTGATGTGGTAGGACTGTCAGCATGTGTCTTGCTCCAGTTTTATTAGCAGCATGTCATGAAATCCAGTGCAGCTCTGTGAATGATGCTAAAAGCGGGGATTTACAGGGAATCTGTTAGATATGCACTTTTGTCATGCAGAGCTGTGTAATGGATCCTGCTTCCTTGGCGGCTAATGAGGCAGAAGACAATTAATGCTGTTGAGAGCAGAATAAGTCCAGTGAAGAAAAAGGCTGCAAGGATCAGGCTGGCTTCTCCAGGACTCAGGGTTTTGCCAAAAAAGTTACCCCCTTTGCTGTCATAATCTGTTAAAAGAGAATTAGTTGATGAGAATCCGCACATGAATCTGAAAAGTTTTAAATGACATTTAAAGAAATCCTTACCTTCTGCAGTGGTTCTATTTTTTGCAGTAGTTGTATCGTATGCTCCAGTTGTGAGTTCTTCTGAAGTAGCCTTCCTCTCTGTGCAGAGAGAGGAAGGACAGTTAAGCCTAAAACCTTAATATATGCTTTGTTCTCATTTGTTAAAGTGGTGCTGATTTTATTTAATTATTGCTACATTGCTGATCTGTAGAGAAATCATGATTAGATCAGCACAGCTATTGCAGCTCCATGGGCAATGTTCCTCTTCTCTATAGGCATCTCTGTTACTTCACTACTTACTGTAGTGATAGGACAAGGGATAATGGCTTTAAACTGAAAAAGGGTAGATTTAGATTAAAGGGAGAAGTTCTTCCCTGTGAGGGTGCTGAGGCGCTGGCACAGGGTGCCCAGAGAAGCTGTGGCTGCCCCATCCCTGGCAGTGTTCAAGGCCAGGTTGGACACAGGGGCTTGGACCAACCTGCTCTAGTGTGAGGGGGTATTGAACTAAATGCTCTTTAAGGTCCTTTCCAATCCAAACCACTCCCTGACTCTGTGTTTCAGTTCTGCACTTGCTCGTTCATTTGAAGTTTCACAGCCTGCATGAATATGTGGTATAGAATAAATTCACCTTATCCAAGGAAGGAGTATTTTGGCTACATTTAGCACTACATTTGTTATCCTGCTGCTACAGGGTTACAGGTACAAGATGTGCAAGGTGGCACTGTTGCAATCCCTGCAGAGGAGTGTAGAAACCACAGTGGAGACCCAGATGGGAGATGTTGGATCCAGATGTTTAATGAAATTATGTGATGTAGAGAGGCCCACAAAGCTCTTCTGGGTTCACTCAGAAGTGGTGGAAGGGACCAGCACCACTCAAAAATTTGCCAACTTCCCTTAGTCAAAAGAACTCCTATTCTTGGACAGGATGAAAAATCATGTTCTGGAGCATCTTGTATCTCAGCTGATCTCTGCCTGTGCAGGAAGAACTCAGATAGCTCTGGGAGACAGCAGTTATTGCAGGGAGGAACCAGCCCCATGCCAGCCTGCAGGCCCTCCTGCACGCCACGTGGCAGCAGGACACAACAGCTTTGCAGTTGTTTTCTGCCCCAGCTGTGGATGACTAAGCAGGCTGCCACTGTCCTAGAAGGGCTCTAGTGAAGCACCAACTGTGTTTAAGTTGCAGAGCACAGCAAAGATTTTGCCATGTCATTACGGCTGTTTGTACTGTCCCTAGATGATGCTAACTGGCTATGGCAGTAATGTACCAGTGTGCAGGGTGCAGCAGTGACATTAGCCCTCATTTCCTCCCTGCCTTCTATAAGATCTGCTGCAATACCACCTCTGAGTTGTGGGACATATTTCTGGCACTGCACCTGATTTATTGATGGTGTAGGTTGTCTCCATGCCAGCATGGATATGGTCGGCTACATGGCAGTGCAGAAGCCACGTTCCAGGGTTTTCTGCTACAAGATCAATTGTCTGGAATGTCCCAGGAAAAAGGTCGTATACGTCTCCTCTGTGGTCCTTATCTGTCTGTGGCAAGGCAAAACCAGCATCGTGAGAGTCATTCCTCAAATATCCCTCATGGGCACTGGAATATTCCAGTTAGACTTTCAGCTCCTCAGGGCAGATCAAATGGTTCTTGTTATACATTTCTAGTGAGCCTCATCCAGGGAAACTGAGGTCTGTAGACACCTCTTATTTTTAATGCTACTACTACTACTAATAAATAATTACTATTCATACATTATACAATATATTAACATATTGTTATATGTTATATAATATATCAATACGTTATAATAATATGGCTATTTATTAATATATAGCATGATATAGATTAATATATTATAATAAGCCTATATATTATTATTGTTATATTTTTAAATATATAATTAACAAGAGAAGACCCCCCCCAGAGGACTTCGAGTGCTGGTTGAGCCCAGGTATTTCTTTGAAAGATACAGGTTTTTTTTTAGGTAGACCTGCCAGTGGCAAGCTGTCACAACATGACACTGTTCTCTAAGCAGGCATAACTAATTTCCCCCCTGTGTCTTCCTTATACGCATGAGTAAACATGTATTTCAACTCATCTAACCATGTCCTCTAACAGTGACATTTATTCATGTTTCATAACAGGCTTGGAGTAATAGAAGCTTTGCAAGGATCTTACTCATTTTGTATTTCCTTCACACTCTGCACCCAAGCTGCAAAACCAGGCTAGAACCTGGACTTTTTCTTTTTCCAGAAATTTCCCATCACAATATAAAGGTTTTACTTTGATGAATTTTACCAACCTTGAAGATGAAGGTCTGCGCATGGAAGTGAACTGTATGTATATCCACTTCATCACCCATTCCTATCAAATACCAGTTGGTCCTATCACCTTCATTCATTGTTAGACCCAGAAGACTGTTATAAATCTTCCCATTGATGGCTGCAAGAATGACAAAATAGGACTGGTTAATAACTGCCAGTGGTATGGGTGATGATAACCTTCACTTCAGCACCCTTTGTACTTTATCTCTGGGGAGACGGGGTACCCAGGCGGAGAGGGGGTAGGCATGTGTGACCATGGCAAGGGCTTTCCATGGTGACCACTGCCATGGCAGGGAGACAGTCACAGTTTTTGTTCCAGTTTCCAGATCATCTAAGTGCACAGCAGCAACTATATTTCTGTCTTGAAAAGCATCAGATAGGTTTTTCACTGGTTGAGATCAAACTCCTGAACAAACAGGATTTATGCTGAGAAGCTACATGGAAAAAGAGGGAACAGAGTTGTTGTCTAAAATGGGTACCATCTGTAGACAGAGAAATCTGCTTTGCCAGGGCTGTTCCTGCCCCTGTCCAGTCTGTTCTGCCTGGCTCCTGAGCTGGTTACTGCTACAGCTACAGCTTTGAAATGTCATCCTACAGATCAAGCCCACAAGGAGCACAGCTCCCAAGTGACAAGGGAAACATGGAAGGGCAGCCTCTTCCCAAGAGTATAAGATTAAATTATCTTGTTAGAAAAATATGTAGGCTGGGGCCTATGAAATCTTTTTTGTTTCTAGAGTTACAGTTTCCGAAGTTGTGATGTGGTTGGGTAAGTGCAGGCTCAGTCAGATGTCTTCCTACAAAGGCTGTGAAAAAGAAACCTGTGTCCTTTGGCTGCTGCCACCGAGTCCTACGTACCATGTTTGCTGTTGCCTTCTATAAAGTTCTTAGTGGCATTAAAACCTTCAGGATTCTTATGAAGGTATGTTTCAATATTGTCTTTCAAATACCAGGATTCATTTTCATCAAACACCATAAACAGAAGAGTAAATTCACGGTCAATGTCTTTCCTTAGACCTCTTTCATCTAGAACTCCTTTTCTGCAAACTACAAGAGGCCCAATCAGACCGCTGTATGTGTCCTGAAAGAAAATAAATACATGCATTATAAATTTCCAGTTCATCCAGTTATGAAATAGACACAGATTAACTACAGATTAAATAAAGATGAAATTCCATTTTTCTACCAGATGAGAAAAAATAACTTCTTACTCTGATTAGAGATATCTTTCTCTACATGTCCCTAAATTAATGTACCAAAGTGATGTTTTGCCTTCACCCAGCATCCTTTCAAGTATTCTTTAAAGAGGGAATCACATTGCATTGGTGTATGCCTGGGGAATTCCATGGATTAAATTACCCAGGCATGTGCAACTGCTGTCAAAGAGGACAAAGCATCTATCTCTGTAAATCATTCCTCTTGCCTGTGGTCCTTGCATAAATGTGAAGCAGGATCCTTTCATAAACATGCAAGCTAGGATGCTTTAACCAAAGGAATGTAATCTTTAATGACCATTGCTTGGTTACCTTCACAAAATTCGCTGTTGAATAATAAACCCAAGTGATACAGTTTGGATCTGTTTTACCAGGGCCAGATCGTTCTGGGACGTTCCACCTGTAGGTATTTATTTCCCCTGAAAAAGAGAGAACAATTTTACCACAAGCAGCTGGGTATTAGAAGCTTTGAATAGTATGTAACTGAGACCTGCTACCCGCCTCATCAAAACATGATCTGAATCAAAACTATCTATGGAAGCATGCAGCAACAGGGTATAGATGTGATGCTGCCTTCCAGGAGGCCACTGAGGTTCCAGTGGTGTAAAGGAAGTCAGATAGCTCCAGAAAAGGGAATGTGCAAATGATTCTGGCAACAGTGGCGCCCTGCAGAAGGAAGTCTGGAAATAGGACTCTTCATCTTTCTCCTTAGACAAAACTTGTAGCAGACCAATGATCTTGGATGCTGATGCTTAAGGTCAGTTGAAGATGTTGGAGCCAAGCTCTGGAAAATGTTTGTTGGACCTTCTCAGCTGAAAAGGGCACAAGGATGTGGCAGCTGCCCCTGGGATTTTGCAGGTGGTGCTGCAGCAGTGTATCGGCTCTGGGCCAGGAGAGGAGAGCTGAGTATGTACCAACCCACTGACTGGGGCAAACAGAGGGGTTCTTTTCTCTTCCAGCTGAGCCCCTGCTCTCCATCAGTCACCAGAGAGTCCCTGTCCCTTCCCAAAAGCCATCACCCCTGCTATGTCCTCCCTGAGCAGAGGTCCCCTGACGTCTGATTTAAAAAACCCAGAACAATCTGATGGGGAAATGATCCATCTGGGTGAGGATCAGTTCTCCACACTGAACACATCTATGTTTGGATGAGCTGCCTGTGCTTGTGTTTCCCTGCTGGTTTCTTGCTGGTACTGCTGGCAACGATAGGAGACCAAGATTTGGTCAGCACCTTGCTCTTTTAAGCGGTGTAGAAATGTTGAACCAGGCAGTCTCTGGCACAAAAGTCTTTCAGGGTGAAAAAAGCCAAAAACAGATGGGCACATGCTATGAGTCAGGGAAACACAAAGAAATGACAGAACTCTTGGCCATGGCCTTAATACAGCCATAACCCAACAGCTGTCAACAGCTATAGGCATCAGGTCAAAGGAGAATTTTCGAGCTTAAATGGTTGCGAAGTGACTGAGCCTGATTTTGTGTCACTGAGCCTGTTTTGATGGGTCATGCAATAGTGGGGTTTATTGTACAGCAATGACTACAAAAAAAGAAATGGTGACTCTCAATTATCGTACTATATGAGATGAGTCTCATGTAAATGTTGCAATACCATTTAATCTTACAGGACAAGCACCTTCTGTTCATTACAGCATGGTTTATACACTCAGTGGAGATTAGAAAGGCTTTCAGGAGACAACACTAATAGGACAGAAACCCCCAGTCTCAGAGATATTCATGCCATGGAGATGTACAGTAGGGAAGAGTTTGTTATCCACCTGTATGTAACCTCCATGTCATCATCCCTTTTCAGAGGGAATGATGTGAGAAGATAGCCTGCCTATGGTCCTTTTCCACTTCCTTGCTTTTTACTCCTCACTTCAGGACATTTGGTTACTGTAGATGGAAAAATCTCCATTCTGGTTAAAACCTGAGACACTTCAGATGGCATCAAAGACCTGTCTTTGAAGTTCAAATGAAGCATAACCCCTGAAAAGACTGATAAACAAGAGGGCAATTGACGTTTTCTCCCTTTTTGCTGCTGAATAAATGGAGGAATGGACAGGGAGAGGAAAAGCTGTGGCAGCTGAGAGCTATTTTGGCTGCTATGGATCTGCTCTCTGCATCTCTACCATGCCACTCACAATCTGTCTAGGAGATGGAAGTGCTCTTGGGAGCACAGATTAGCAGGACATAAATCTGACTGACGACTGCTTCAGGATTTACTAGAACTAGATGGGCTCTGGGAAGCTTGGAGTGAGCAGTCCAGCCTGATCTAGGGAGACACAGACAGGATTTCTAGGTGAGGATGGTGGGGACTGATGTTCCCAGGAACTACTCTTGTTTAGAGGGACTTACTTTCCGTGTTAACCGGTGCTTTCAAACTCCTAAGGAAAAGTCTGTCCTTAGATCTTTCTGAAGAGTGCTTTCCTTTGGCTGGCAGATGCAGACACCTTTCCTCAAACTAACTTATCCCAAGCCTGCTCCCATGTGGACGTAGGAGACATGACAATAGTGTTCCTGGTGTTATACCTCAGCTGTCAGTGAAACATTGACAGCATCATGGGGCACATAATAAAACAAGGGAATCATATAAATCAGCTCATTTTCTTTCTTTTTTCCCCCCGTATATTAACCCCAGGTATTCATTCATCAAACTCCAGTCAGGCAGATGTTGGCTCATGAATTTCTGTGTGATCGTGCTGTACAAATACAGCTGTTTACAGGAAAGAAATTTCAGCTTTCAAAGAGGCTTACTCCATCAGAGTTTCTTTTCATTTAATTTCACACCGAAGCTCACAAATATTGAGAGAAAATGAATGTGTGAGTAATGGAAAGCAAAGGTATGTACATTTTGGCTTGACTCTGATGCCTGGGTTTGAGTCTGACTTCATACTAGGATATAAAACCCAAAATAAAAATTGAAGTATAAACATTTTAAGAGGTATTTTTCAATATGAAAAATTTCAGTGCAATAAGAACTAGTTTCCACTATTTTCCTCACTGGAAACTGAAGCATATTTGATACACTTTTTCAAAGACTTTTAGTTCACATGACAGCTACATTTTGCATTTTATGCGTCAGCTCTGAATGCAAATGCTGATTCTGTGTAGCTCAAGAGAGAAGCAGAGTTCATATTGCCAGCTGCAACTCTACCACTGAGTTCCTCAGTTTTCAAATCACTGTTAGAGTGTCAGTGGAGCCAAATGCAGCTCTGGCTTACACTTCTCTTGCCATGATTATGGGCCTCTTTCTGCCTTTTTTTGGAGGTTGTCCAGTGATATTACATTCCTGTTTCTGCCTCTGATAGGAACAAAGGTTCATTCTCTGCCTGAACATGCTCACTTGATCAAGAACCTACATGTATAACAATACAGAATCATATCTGAATAAAAGCTAATGTGTTATGTCTGGAAGAGTGTATAGGTATGCATAAGCGTGAAAGAGGGATTATCATTCATGTGTTAAAACACTTTCATATGCAGTCTTTGTAGCTGAAAGGGAAAAAAAAAGAGCAGCCTTACCAGGGAGTGTAATTGGTGTCTCAGGTTGCTCTTCACAACCCACCTCTTCTATTCCATGTGCGGTTATCGAATAAGGCCTGCTGGCTTTGTTCTTAAATACAACCAGTACAGAGTCACCAACCTCAGCGTGGAGTAACGGCCCTAAATTAAACCAGAGGATGCTAGTGATTAATGCTCTTTTCTGAATGTAACAAACTTTCCATACCTTGGCCTAGGAGAGGAGCCAAGGTCTTTCCCAAAACCCTCGGGCTCTTCTGTTCTTTCAGCAAAGCCATCAAAACCTGTCTGTTATCCCAGCTGATGAAACGCTTCATCTGTACAAATAATTTTCCCTTCTTTCTGGTCGATGAGAATTGTTTGCTCTGGACACAGGTCTTTGGTTACCTTGTTTTTAAGGAAAACTCTAGTGGATGTTTTTTGTATCTTTCAAAATTTTATTTCTTGAGCTGTTAACAGCTTTTTTCTTAAAAACCCTATGTTTTTAGTTTTGTACCTCAAAAAGGGATATGTCAAATACATTCCTAGAGAGTGTTGGCTACTTTATGGCCAGTTGTTGCCCACTTCTCACCCCATAAAAAAACATGAGCTGATGGTTATTTTATGACATATGTAAAATCTTTTCTTGCCCAATTTCAGATACAAATCCAGCCCCTTAATATTGACTTCATCTGCCTACAAGAGTTCTGAAGTTAAGGTGAATCCTGGAATTGCCATTTTGACATCCTCCCTCTTAGTACACCTTGGGAAACTCCTTATTCATGTTTGAGAATGAACTCTCTAATTTGGAAAGAGTCTTTACACTCAGCAGTTATACAAACTGGGTGTAAAATCACTGATAGCCTGGATAGGCATCAGTGTTCCTTGTTTCCCGTGTTAACAAAGCTGGATAAACTAAGTTTTTGGAAAGCAACCCTCTCACTTATCAGGCTCAGTCTATGAGCCATGAGAGCTACTTGCCCAGGATTTCCAAGTGTTCCTCCTCCTCTGTCCTCACTTTGTGCTGTGTGAAGTTGCCGTTTGTGTACTCTCTGTAAACCACCTTCTTGTATTTTGAACCGATCTGATCTTCTGCTTGATTCAAGAAAATATGCCCATAGCTGCAAAATTAAAAGTAAAAAATTAAACCCATTAAATCTCACATGTCTAAAGGCTAGTAACTGTTGTGTTATTCACAGTAGATTTGATAAGAATATATGGCTTGATCCAGCGTGCTGATCGGTGTAAAGCCCTGGGTGCTGCAAGAGATTTTAAACAGCAAACAGTAACAGTGATGATCCTTACTAAATACACAGCCTTTTCAAACAGGTAAAGCTGACGATACGTTGCATGCACCACAAACTTTTGGGAACACAAATCCTTCACCAGACCTTTCAGAACAGAGATGAATTTCAAGCGAAGAGAGGGTTTGGCAGCTCTCTCCAGCTGCATTCTCTGCTCCAATAAAAGATACTGCGTGTCCCTGCAAAACTGAATCCTCTTATCATGATGGCTGCTTTCGCTATCTATCTTGACTATTAGTCAGCCACAGGAATATGATAACTGAAGCCTAACCTTGCAAAAGCAAATGCCTTCATCTAAGAGCGGACTTCTTTCCCCTGTCTCGTTCTGGTGTGCACTGCGCAGGGCTGGATGCTTTCCCAGCATGAAGTGGGAAAGGTCTTTTCCCTTCTGCGCCCGGCAGAAGGTGCTTTTTTTGTGCCCTCCAGGTTTGAGCAGTCACCCACAGGTTGTTGCTGCTCCCATGGGATCCCAGAGGGCTGACTTGCCAGCAGAGGACACTCACCACCAGCTGTGGAGGAGAGCATTCACCTTCTCCTAAGAGCAGCTCTGCCTCCTGGCTGCTCATCTCCAAGGTGCCCCTGGCAGAGGAGCTGTGAGGCTGGCTCACAACATAGAATCATAGAATCATAGACTCATAGAATGGTTTGGGTTGGAAAGGACCTTAAGATCATCTAGTTCCAACCCCCCTGCCATGAGCAGGGACACGTAAATAAGCAGGGACATACAAAATAAAAGCACAAGAATGCCCCAGGAACACTGCTTACTGTACTGAGAGCTTACTGTAGTAATTTACTGTATGTGAAACAACAGCCTTTGACAGTACTGGAGTTAATATTTTCTTTAAACACACTTCATCACCTGTGACTCTTACATTTTCTACCACTTGTCATACTCTTCCTCTTTACAGGGTGCAATTTTCCGGCCACTTTCCTAAGGTCTAGTTTTGAAATATGTTCTTTGTTCCTTTTTGTTTTCACCAAAGTGGTCTCAGAGACCTCCCTCTGCAGTATGACCTGGAATGTGTATCGTCTCCTGCACATGCTTTGTATTCCTTAGCACAGTGCAGCACAGAGGTGATTCACCTGCAGTAGTTACAGAACAGCTGATTTTTCCAGTAATTTTTCCAGGGAGTACCACACTGCAGTGAAGCAGGCTCAGCACTTCCCTAATGAATCTGAAATTCTTTCAGGAGCTCACATCTGGAATGTGTGCCTGGGTTTTTTCACTACAAAAAACAGAGCACTGGCATGGGGAGACTGGGAAGAGTGAGGGACTTGGGTGGCATCATTGTAGGGCTGAGCCAGGGCTGGAAAACACACGTGGATTTAGGAACTTGGAAGCCTTTTAGGTTCAACAGCAATACAAGGCACTCTGAGATGAAAACATTTGACAATGCTGCCTATGAACTAGTCTAGTCTGAAAGTTTGTCACTTTGCAAATACATTTTCCCTTATTTGTTCAGCAAAGACTGCCTCCTAAAAAGTACCAGGCTGGCTTCACGAAAGGATGCTTCCAGATTTCCCCTCCATTATGAGTCTGCCCCATGCCCACAAGCAATTTTTGTTTTGGGTACCTTTCCTCATTGCTGCTGATGTTGTAAATATTCGGTACTGAGCTCTTATTTGAGGCATAGTCCCACTCCACCTCCTCTGCAGCGATGTAGTAGAGCCTCATGGTTCCACTCTGCTGCTGGGCTCGGGTGGTGTTACGGCAGCTGCTGACCTCATACAGATGTTTCATCCCACCAACGAAGTGATCAAAAGTCCTGCAAACCACTTTGAATGTACCTGGAAAGGAAAGCATGTGAGAGTTAGGTGGTTTAAAACGCTTTGAAAAGCAGCTTGGCGAATCAGTTCCTGTGCCTTGTACATCTCTGATCTGTCCCCAGACAAACCGCATCTGTGATGCCATATGGAAAGTCAAGCATGAGGATGCTTTTATAAAATCATAGAATTGTTTATGTTTAAGATCGTCAAGTTCAACTGTTAAGCCAGCACTGTAAAGTCCACCACTAAACCATGTCCCTGTACACCACATCTACAAGTCTTTAAAATACCTCCAGGGATGGCGACTGCACCACTTCCCTGGGCAGCCTGTTCCAATGCTTGACAACCCTCCTGGGGAAGAGATTGTTCCTAATATCCAACCTAAATCTCCCCTGGTGCAACTTGAAGCTGTTTCCTCGTGTTCTATAACTTGTTACTTGGGAGAAAAGACTGACATTCACCTCCCCACAACCTCCTTTCAGGTAGCAATAAGGTCTCCCCTGAGTATTGTCTTCTCAGGACTGTCTTCTCATCAGACTGGTGCTCTAGAACCTACACCAGCTCCATTCTCTTCTCTGGACTCACTCCAGCACCTCGATGTCTCTCTTGTAGTGAGGGGCCCAGAACTGAACTTAGTATTCAAGGTGCGGCCTCACCAGTGCCCCGTACAATGGGACAATCACAGCCCTGGCCCTGATGGCCACATTCTTTCTATTACCAGCCAGGATGCTGTTGGCCTTTATGCTTCTAGGGCAAAAGTGATGGAAAAGGTAAAATAACAAGCAGTTAGAGAAAATCACATGTCGATGATTGTCGAGATCTGATAATTCTCCATTCCCCTTACTGCCTACAGAAGGCTGGCTGGCAAAATGTAAAAATCTCCTAGAATATATTGTTTAGTGGGAGTTCTGTAGTGCAGGTACTTGACAGATGGGGGAAATGTATGGGATATGCACATGAAAAAGATGCCAGTGCCAGAGGTCTAACCTGGCATGTGCACAATGCAGATGTATCCATCAGGTGCTCTGGCCAAGGATGGCCCTCGGGCTCAGCCTTGTGCTACAGTGATGACTGTTGATTTAAAGAGGGTTGCACTAACGTAAAGAAAAGTAGGATTTCACTCTTTGTCATGAAGCTTATCTGGTGGTTCCCTCTGAGGTTGAAGAAAATACCATATATACATGAGCATTACAAGTCTCCTTAATGTATATGCTTCTGAAGGAGATCCTAAAGAATATTATTGAAAAACTACTATTGAAGTCCTAAAACCCCTTAGATCCCTATCTACACAGCAGTGAATTTTATATTTGCTAAAATAGCCTGTTTCAAGAGTTATGGGAATTCTGTGAACATCTCATTAGCTATCTCTCTGCCTGCTGCTCTGCCTATCCCAAGGTCATCAGAGCCTGTGCTCTTTGGTGCATATACATATTTGATTTATAGCACCTTCCCAGTAAAGCAGCCCAGCCTGGTCCCCATGGTCTCCGTGCTTTCAGGCTCCCTTGTGCAAAGCAGAGTATCCCGCCGACTGTCCTTTTGGCTGCCTGATTTCTGCGCATGCCACACCACCAAGGTAAGCTCCTGAACGTACCCACACGGTCTGGCTGCATCAGCGCTGTCCATGATAAGTGAGGAAACAAGGCCAGCCCGTCCCTCGTCGTCCCTCTCAGGTCAATGGTGTTTCCTTGAAACTGAACCCCGTGCATGTCGTAGTGACTGCCCAGCCCGATGAGGTGCCAGGAGACCTTGTCGTCCTTGCACATGGTCAGGCCTGGCAGGTTACCAAACAAGTATCCATTGACAGCTGAAGGAGAGAGCAGGAAAGAGCCTGATTGGGAGCAGGTCTTTGGAAACTCATCACAGAGCCTCCTACCACCTTCCTGACAAGAGACTCATAGAACCATAGAATCAGTTAGGTTGGAAAAGACCTTTAAGATCACCAAGTTCAACCATTCCCCCAGGACTGCCAAGACTACCACTAGACCATGCTGCTAAGAGCCTCCTCTACATGGTTTTTGAACACTTCCAGGGATCATGATTCACTTCATGACTCAGCAAGTCACAGCATTAATTAAAGGGGCATTTTGTGAAGCAGAGGTAGCACTGGATGACACCAAAATAATCTCATAATGACATTCCTATAAACTCTGAACTTCTACTTTTTTTTTTTCAGCCTGTAAACCTGTAATAGCCCTTTGCAGTGATGTAACATTTCTCCTCCAAGCTTCTGAGAATGCCTCACATACACAATGAAGTGTATAAATTATGTACCTCCTTTCAGCCTGGAGAATGTATAACCAAATCATTAAGGCCATGGAGTAGGCCATAAAGAGTCCACATTACAAATTCAGTTCTGACAGAACATTCTTATATGATTTTGACCTTTTATTTCCACTTTTACTTCCAAAATGTACCTTTCTTTCACAAGAAAGGCTAAACTCCCTAATCCTCAAATGCTCTCTGTGATCACTGAGTAAAAGATATCATGGCAGAAGAAAACTTTGGTATGAGATATTACCTAATAACAGAAGAATAAAACAGATGGGTCCAGAAAGCCCCAAGGTTCTCTAACAATATATACTCTCAGTGCTCTTCAGAAAACTAAAGCAAAGAGAAGTTATGGGATTTGTTGAAATCTGTTGTGTCAGGAATAACTTAGAGGAGGTCCATCCTGAAGTCAAATACTTACATCCAGAAGTGATAGTTTAAAATACTACTGGCCATTCCCCTCTTTCAAACGTGGTCAGTACCCAAGTGGGAGCTGGCAGAGCAGAGCAGGTGGACCTTCATTGCCCAAGTCAGTGCCAAGGCCAATAGTGAAATTCACAGCACTAGTGAACATTGGCTTCTTCTGCAGCTGATGCCCGCCTCCGGTATGACTCCTTTTTATAGAGCCAAGTGTTGCACCTAAAAGTACACTGTTCGCTTTCTGCAGGTGTAGTTGGTAGGTGGATGTATTCATTGCTAATGTGACTGGGGTTTCAGGATGCAGTCCAAGAGCATCCAAGGAGCTGGCCATAAGCTGACTGACAGCTTTCCACCTCACCCTCCAGTGCACCGCAGTTGGCTGTGATTGATGGTAAAACCTGCCAACTCATCTTCCTAATATGACTGAAGAAAAGGTATCATTAACAAACATTAGATATTTCATACCGTGCATTTTGTTGGATTCCTTGAAATCTGCATCATTTTCGTCTACTTTTGAAGGGTCTCCAGTAAAGGCTTCGATATTCTTATTCAGATACCAACTGTCATTCTCATCGAAGATTGAAAAGAGGAGGTAAAATTCTCTGTCTATTCCTTTCTGTAGCCAAGAAGGAAGCCAAGACATTAAAAATCAACCTGTGCAGAATTACCCAAGTAATTCTTTTTTTAACAAAGCTTTCTTTCCCCAAAAAATTGCAGCCACCTTCTTACTATGTCCTTGTAGAGACAGGGATTGGCACTCTTCCATCAGCCAGAAGGATAAATAAAGTGTCCATTACTTAATTAGGGTGGAAAGATGCATTCATTGCCAATCAGTACACGGAAAAAATGGAAAACCTAAGGATGAGCCAGAATACTGGGGAATTACAGTTTCCTCCTCCTAACCATCCCCTTAGGCCAGCTTTTACCCTGGGGAATGCCGTTTGTTTCATCTCTTAAAACTGAGCTGGGCAAATTGGCCCATATGGGATCCCGCCCCACTCCAGTGCACCACCCTGCTTTTAGGGACAAGCACATGTCCATGTTGGGCACCTGTGTCCCATCGGGATTCAGCGTGTTCTTCCGACAGACCAATAAAGGCCCCACGAGGCCAGAGTTAGTGTCCTTGACAGCATCGGTTGCTGAGTAGTACAGATAGGTCAGGCATGGGGGGTCACTCTCTGTTGGACCTCCATTTTCAGGCACCCTCCATTTGTATGTGAAGGTTTCACCTGGCTTAACGTGGGCTCCTGGCTTCATATAGCCTGCAGAGAGGAAATTGAGACGGTTTTGTCTTCCGGAATACAAGCGTTAGCTGGGAGTCAGACATAGCTGCTGATCTATGTGGACAAGCTCCCCCTTGCAGCCACAGCTTGGGCACCATCCCGTACTCTGGGCACTTACGCCTTGGGGACATCTCACTGGAGTCCTGTGCCATAGGGACAACCAAGCCCATTTACTCATTGAACAAGTTTAACTGCTTCACCCAGACACCTTCTAGTGCTGTCTGGCTTGCTCTAAATTTTGCATCTTACCTACCCTATTGTGAGGTCCATCTGTGGCACAAGCACAGACGCTGGCTTTTCATTGAGCACCAGCAAAGCAACTGCATCAGTGAGCAGAGCTGCAACTGTGGCTCTTTAGAAATTCAAACCAATTCTGATCCTGGTGATCATTTCTTTTTGATTTTGTAGCAGTGCCCAGGAACCTCTGTCAGAGCCTTCACAGGGCGCTTGCTATTACTTTTTTTGGAAGCTGCTGTTTAAGGATTTGGGCCATTGTCTGCTGCCATGCACAGATGTAGCACCACGCATGTAAATTTAGCCACTGTCTACATCCGCTCAGAGAGGACTTACAAAAGGGACTTGAAAGGAGAATTGAGAAAAGGGGTCAGCCCTGCACCCTTTGTAGAAAAAGAAATGCCAAATCACCTTTCTGGTCCTTGCTACGAGGAAGATCAGATCAGGAATTTTGTTTAATGCTTAGGCATCCATGGACTGGATTTTCTCAGCACTGTTAGATGTGTCTGGCAGCAGCAGCATTTACTGATCTAATACTCCTAATACTCTAAGAGAAATCTCTTGAAAATGTAGTCATGGATGAAAATAGCAGTATTAAATATGAACACATACTATTTGCTGAAAAACACAATACAAAGAAGAGTATTGCTTTGACCATATCTGATACTACTGGATCCATCCTGCAACAGTGCTCAATAAGGAGAGCATTGATTTGGAGTTGAAAGCTATCAGAGACTGGACAAGTGTCAAATGCAACATGGAAGAGTATTTTCTGAGAGCACAGTTAAAAAAAGGTGTCTGCAAACATCTGTAGATGTCAGTAGGTACATTTATGTGCACTATTTTCACATGAATAAGCTCACTCAGTCAATGTGCAGCCTTTGAAAAATCACTTACCTTCAGTGTAAACCTACAGCCCTTGTAGGGTCTCTACATGTACATGATGAAATATGTATATGAATGTGTATGAAATCCAGGACACAAGGGTTACAAGAAGAGAAGAAGGGACAGAAGATTGTTGATGAATCTGGAGTCAGGTTCCAGTAAAGACCCAGAGGTGTTCAGTGCACACTGCTGCCAAACTGTAGGATTTGGTTTGATTTTGCTCCTCCCAAAAGCGTGCAGTGTTGATGGGTGCTATTACTGGGGAGTGTTAAACGAAAGCACAACAGGACTGCAAGCAGAGGGAAGCCACACTTCCACCAGGGAGCTACATCTGACATGGGTGGCATTAGGATGTATGCAGATAATTTCAAGACTTAACAAAAACCAGTTTCATGATGCATTGGGGCCTGCTGGCACATCTGTTGTGTTGCAAGGTCGGAAACTGGAGACAACAAATTTAATAAAGTCTTTTGTATTGATTTTATTGCATGATGTTATGAGTCTTACATGTTGACCTAATTATCTTAGCACAGTTCTCAAAGAGGGATTATGCTCCATGCATTTCTTTCTGATGTGTTATAGTGGAAACAAAGCAATGTAGACAACAGGAGACCTACCTTTCCTTTCAGTGCTACAAACGCAGCAAAACCTTTTTCAGAGACCACAATAGCTCTCTGTAGCTCTGTGTAGCTACAATAGCTCTCTGTAGCACTATGGATGGGATTCAGCTCACCTGGCTCGAGGCATCTAAATCTTAGTCACTCACCCAAACTCTAGGCTTCTCTCGTAGTTGATGGTGACAGAACACTTCTCCTACATGTTCAAAGTAAACGGGACTTCTCACCCTCTAAAGGGTTTGTTTCTGACTGAAAAAGTTGCCTACCAATTAAACATGACATTTAACATTTTGATGAAGATCCTGTCCTTACACAAATGAGAGGAAAACTTTGGTAAATGCTCTATTTCAGTGTTTACGTATTTATGAGCATTAATATGGATTATCGTTGCTTCACATTCCAGGTCAATCAGATAAAAGCTGCATCCAACACTGACTATTCTGATAGTGAAGCAAGGGCGATGCCCAGCCTGGATTAGAGAACCAGGAGTAAAGCAACCCAGACCGTATGGATGGCTGTAGCCAAAGACTCAGCACGGGCCAGATTTGAAGCTTCATAATTCTGGAGCATGTCCAGAGGAGATCCACTGACTGCACTGGAGCGATATTAGATTAGAATTAATATCAACTGGATTCAGCCTGTGACTTTTGCTTAACATGGACCTTTTAGACTCCTTTCTGGCATATGTCCAGGGGGAAGAACCAGCCCATGGGTTGTGACATGTGAGGTAAGTACATATTAATCAAATCACCCCTTCTGCGCCTTAGCATCTACAAAAAGGGCAAACCTGCAGAGCAAGAGATGATCTTTAGACCCGGGTATTCTGGATGTGATGCTAGAGCTGTACAGTCAAAACTTACCATCTACATATGGAGCTCCTTCTGACAGCTTGCTGAAGCTTACACCATGGGCCATAATGCTATAGCTTCTTCTGGCTTTGTTGGCAAAAGTAACCAGCACTGTATCTCCCACTTCAGCTTTTATAACAGGGCCTTAAAAGACAAGAGTGAGAGAACATGTTAGAAGAGCTACCTTCTAATACATTTCCATCTAAACAAGAGAGGGCTGATTGGCAGCTGCGTGCGTGAAGTTCCCCTCTGGATTTAAGTGGACCTTCATTCAAACCCAACATAATGACAGAAGGGGGAAATATTCACTGTACCAAGTATTCCCAGGTGCTTCATGTCCTCTGACCAAACCTTCTTACTGAACGTTGCATCGGTATATTCCACGTAGCGCACTTTCCAGTATTGCCCTCCTATTCTGTCAGTCCCTTGTGTGAAATATATTGCAGATTCACTGTGGAATTAACAAATTGGATTGGTTAAATAATCTGAGGTTCAGGCAGAAGCCTTAATTTCAGATAGAGCTGTGACTCCAGACAGAAGACAAATGACGCCCCCAAGCTGCTAGTTAGCATACACTTTTCTAGCAAAGGGTGCTAGAAATTCAGTAATTCAAATTACTGATTTGAATTACATTTATAAATTAGTTGACAAATGGACATTTATTGTGCATTAGACTTTCATGTGTTTAACCCCAGTTTACTTAGGGAGATGTCTATGCTAACTTACCTCTAAGTACCTTAGGGCAAGACCTGTGCCATTAACTGTGTACAATGTTTCTAATCCTTGTTAGCTTTCTTGGGAGATACTGTAACACAAATCATCTTCGTTAGTAGTAAAAGGGGGGCAAAATCTGCCATTATGGCACTTCCAGAGATACACCTAGTGTAAGTGTGAAAACTGCCTAAGGAGTTTCAATGTACACTCATTAACTCTGTTGAACTTCATGTACCTCACAAAGGCACAAAGGGCTCACTTTCTCCCTGGACTTAATGGATCAAGATAAGTGCTTCCAGAAGGCAACTCCAAGCACTGCAGTTAGGAATCTAACTTCCTGGCACGGTTGTTGAAATCCATTCCTCCCTGCCCCTTTCAATTAAAGTTAATAACAGTGCAGGACCTAGCCCTGGTGAATCACTGGGGAAGTCTCACCCTGACTCCTGAAACTAAAGTGCAGCAGGAGAGGACTAGAAAGCTTACCTGCCAGTGGCATTCAAACCCTGCCCAGTGAATTTATCGTAACCGTCAGGTCCATAATTCCAGAGCACTTCTTCAGCAGCGATATAGTATCTCCTCTTGTGACTGAGTGGCGAGGGCCGAGACAGGTTTTTGTGGCAGATCTGAACATCGTACAGTGCCTCCATGCCACCTGGGAGGAGAAAGAGTCTGGAGACAGTCCTTGGCCAACTGCAGAGCTAGTGACCTCATGGGTACAAATGCACAATCAAAACTCTCTAGAAGCTACATGGATTGGAAACAATTACTAGGGTAATCTGTTTTTAAAGACATCCTCTGCCTACACTGGGACAGATGTTAATACCCTTCTCTTGCACGGTGGTACTTTATGCCACAGGTGAAACCCACTGACATCAATGACAGTCTTTAGTTGGCTTATCTACTCAATTCTTTAATCTGGGTAAGGATGGTAGAATGATTTTGGGAGTCAGAGTGCCTCATGAAGTGTGCAAAATGGCATCACCTCCCCTTGACTTTCACTGAAATAGAGGCTGGTTATTACCACACTGAAAAGATCTGTTGGTTGCCAAAATCAAGTCTGTTTTGCCTAATGAAAATCCCACTGAAACCAATGTGCAAGTTCTCAGAAGCAAAGATTCTCCCAGCTCATCTCTGATACGATAACTTTATAGTGCTGTTGTAAGACCTAGTTTATGATATGTGCTTTTGGCCTATCACACCACACAAATATCACATCATCATCAAACTCCTTCATGTTAAGGTTTCTGAAAACCCTGCCCATTTTTGTCTGATTTCTGTAAAGGAAAAAGCAATGAAGTGTTCAGCTGCCATAATTTTCTTTATGTGCTTTTTATGTGGTATTGGTTTTATTTTATTTTTATGTGTTTCTTTATGTATTTCTTATTTACAACAAAAAATGATGATGAAGGGTCCTCTCATTGCTCATAGAAAACATGGCATCAGCACTGGGTCTAGCAAGCCTTCCTCTTGTGAATTACACAGCTAAGTTATTCATACTAGCTGAAGATTTGTCCCACCATGTGTAATTTCCACTGGCGACTAAACTCATATTCATGATGTTTATCTGGTGAAGTACTTCCAAAGTGTTCAGTTAGTCACCAAAAAAAAGGTGTGAAATCCTGGAAACATCTCTCAGTTTTCTTTTCCAAGCATAATAAAGGCTGGAACTTCTGGAAGGATCAGGGAGATCTATAGCAGCATACCTCGTAAGTGCTCGTTAACCTGGCACGTTATCAGCCACCTCCCGGGGTTCCCAGGAGTCATCTCCGCTGTGATGAATGTTGCTGGGAACAGACCAATGACATCTGCCCTCTGGTCTCTGCTGATGAACGTGTGGCCATAGAAATACGCAGCGTGGATATCTATCTCGCTTCCCATGCCAAACAAGTGCCAGGACATGGAAGTGTCAGCACACATCTCCAAGCCGGGGAGATTGCCATAAATATAACCATTAATAGCTAAAAACAAAAGTATGAGACTTTATGAGAGGTGAAAGAGAAGTGCCAAGTGCCTCTGACCCCATTTGTAAGGATGATCCTTTGCTGGCCCAGGAAAGAAACTGTCTCAATGTCCACACTTTCAAGGCCCTCACAGGCTCCTTGATCATTTTGAACATCCAGTTTACAGCTCTGGGTGATCAAATGGCCAAAATTCTCTGGTTGGATCTGTGAAAAACTTCCTGGGTGATATCAACACTTACAAAGGCCAAGTCATCACCAAAAAGGCCTGATAATGAAGTCAACTTGTTCTGCAGCTACTTAACATGTCTGAAATCTGTTTCCTCTTATTCTGAGTCACAAATAAGCCATTATATGCCAGGCTTAAGCAATTTAGATTTGAAAATTATGATATCAGTCGAATCAGTCTAGTCAGCTGTCTCTTCCTCAGCTTCCACCTGACAGCTTATCAGGACACTAGGAGAATTAGACTCATTCTTTGCAAAATGTTTTAGCTCCTAGGTTCCATGGAACACCCAAAATACAGAGAAATGTCTGGATTTAACTTCTTACACCAGATCTCCAAATGGCACAACGTACTATAGGCCAACGGATATCTAAGGAGTGGTTGTACCAGCCAGCTCACCACCCACAGGGTCCTTTGAGAAATGCTGGGCTCTTCCAATACACACATCTCCAAGTGCTCTGCAGATTGCTTTTCTCTTTTCACAGCTGATCAGTGACCAAATCGCTTAAATCTGCTGCCCAAGATAAAATGCTAAACAAATGGCAGAGCTGGGCACGAAAGCCAAATCTGTAAATCAGTGCATTGTGCTGTATTTATGCAGAGGCTTTTTATCAGCACTTCTTCCACATCCTGACCCCATTTACCTGCTGATACAGGTAAAGGAGAGGCATCACAAGGGACAGACAGTCCTACTGAAGTGAAAAGAGCCTGGTCACTGCTGTAGGTCACCATTTGCTCAAGAGTCCTGCTCACCGTGCATTCGGTTGCTGGTCTGGAAACCTTCATCCTCTTTGTCAACTGTGGCTGGTTCTAAGCAGAACGTGTTTATATTCTCATCGAGATACCAGCTGAAGTTTTCATCTACAATGCTAAACATCAGGGCAAAAGCGTTAGCAGCACCAGTCCCTTCTATTGAGGTCTCATCTGCAGTTCCTAAATCATAAACGAAAAGGAAAGTGATAAAAAAAGCCTTGGAGAGGATAGAATTTAAAAGTGACAATAATTTTGGAGCACTTGAGGAAATACAGTGCTCTGCCCATGATCTATAGGCACCTAATTTTGAAACTCACCTAATTTTGCTCGCCCCCCAACAGACTTTGAACAGATGAGTGCCTCCAGAAGGCAAGTTCATCTTGTCTAAGTTAAGCTGATATTTCAGGATCACTTTAATTTGACATAAGCACTAGTATCTGCCAATATCTGTGGTCCCATTTTCCCCATCTATGTCCCACTGCACCCAACCCTGCTCTTCAGTCAGTGTTAACAGCTCTGTGTCTACACAGTAAGCCAGGTCATGGGCCTGACTGATAGGGCCAGAAACCAGTGACTTTTTATTTTGACCAGGAATTGAGGAGAGGCAAGTTCTGTTGCATTTCCATTGCATTGAAGTGACTGGTGAACCATACCCTCGGAATGGCCATTTAAATGTGGCTCGCCATCCATGGACTAGCAACAGAGCCTGGACAATTATCTAGGAGTAGATAGTCAAATTTAAGAAGGCTGAAGGCAGAATGAAAATAATCTGTCCAGGCTAAGTTCAGTATCATTATCTGAGTGACCATTCGGAGAACAACCTGAGACTAAAGGAGTGGCAATATTGATCAGCCTATTAATACTCACTGACAGGTTTAGACTTCATCCAATCATTCAGTCTACCTCTGAACCCAAGAAAAGCTTTGCTTCCCCTGTCTCCTACTGAAGGGAGCCCCAGAGCCTTGCTGTCAGTCCTGTAAGGAGCCACACACCACCTCTGGACAGAGGGCTACAGCAGTAGCATCATGCAGATATCCACCTTGATGCATTCAAGAGCAAACATGCAGATAACCTGGCCTTTCAGGCTAGGACTGTTCTGAATGTGCTATCTCCTGGTTTCATGTATTATTGCAGTCATTGGCTCAGTTTCATATACTCAGGCAGCTCTGCAGAATTCAAAAGCTCTCTGGGAGAATGTAAGTCTGAGACATTTTAATTGTGTGAGTTAAGCTGGAGACCAGGCCTATCCTTCCCACATTGAAGTATTTCTCTTTTCCATGTACAAGACCTGCTTCACTTACATGTTCTGTATATAAAATCAGGGCTGATTTTGTACTGTGGGAAGTACTGAAAAGAGGTGGCAGAGTTACACATGCCCAGGGGGAGAAAGGGATGGCTGAACTGATAGAGGGGAGAGAGGTAGTACATGGTCCCTGTTGGCTCCAGTGCAAAATCAGCAGGCTATAAAGTACACGGGACAGGCTGCCACCTCAGCAGTTCGGTGCACATCCCCATATGGTTGTAACAAACAACTCCTGAACAAAAATAGATATATAATCTGTATGGGGGAAAAATGACGAAGAACATTGGGGTTTCAAATATGTAAATGCCAATGCCAAAGTCACCTGCCCAGCCTTGTTTTCATTTCCTGGTCAATGAGTCCTTTGCTTGTCCTGCAATGATCTCAGTTTGGGACCATTTATTTTTGGTCTCGGCCATGACTGGCTGGCCACAGAGCATGCTGCAGTCCCTCCACCAGCCGAGGCAAATGTCTTGTGAAGCCAAAGGGGAGCAGGAAGGGGGTTGTCCCAGAGCTACAATACCTACCCTGGGATGCTCCTGGAATGGCCCAGCTATTCCTTGCCCCTTTTTATGGGCTATGTAGGGATAGACTCTAGACCATCAGGTTTATACCTGTAAGCAAAAATGACTGTTAAGATGCCAAGCTTGGCAGAGGGGCTGCTTTGTCACTGTTTCTAGCTCAGTACCTTTTTTACAAACCAGCAGTGGCCCAATTAAACCAGATGCAATATCTCTTGGTGTGTCAATGTGAGAATGGTAAATCCAAGTCAAGCAGTTTGAGTCTGCCAAAGTTGGGGAATAATCTTTCCTTACTGGCCATGTGTAAGTGTAATTTCCACCGGGAACAACAAAGTCGTCCTCTTTGCTTTTACCACCGGTTCCATCAGGGTAAAGTGCTCCTAATACATTAAAAGGAAAAAGGAAGCTTTTAGGCCCCCCCTTAACTGTTTTCCTTAAATAAATGTGTAATTTCTTCTATTTTATCACAGATTTGTAAAATAATAACAGCACTCACAAACAGAAACACTGAGAAATTGTGAAAAATACCAGAAGTTTTCATAATACCATCAAAAAATGTTAAGAATTAAAATATATTGTTTGTCAGTAGACAAAACTCTAAAAATACATTGTCCCTAATTTTTTATTTGATTCTTTACTCTCATCAGTCATCTACAGATTTTGTCAGCTAACACTGTATATCTTTTCACAGAAAACTGATGAGAGTAATGAATGTAAGCAAATCCATACAGTCCTTGAACCAAAACAGACACGCACAGGTTTGAGAATCTGAAAATTACATCATGCCTGTTACAGCCCCACTGGTAGGAAAACATTTACTTACAAGAACTCCATCTACTCAAACAGACTAGAAGTAGAAGGGAGGAGGAAAGGTGCTTTGGTGACTTATTATTCAGGAAAATAATTCAGGAAAAAAGCCCCACCTAACCTGTTCCAGTACTGGATTTAGCCCAGGCGTTGAAGGTTTGTGGCAAAAAGTTTTAAGAGACGAGGCTGTTCCTGGTTTTAGTCATCAGCTGCAATTACTAATGAGTTTATGAGAGGATGATCTAAAGTCCTCTGATGTCAGTGGGCAGAACAATAAATACTTGGACAACTTTTAGGTGTGATATTAGCTACTCCGGGGGGAAAGGAGAGGAAAAGGCAAACCAGCTTTTACCTTCAGAGTCCTTGTCATAGAAGACCCCATGTGGATGCACAGAGTATGGGCGGGAACCAAAGTTTTTTAGATGGACGATAAAGACATCCTCTTCTTCTGCTTTCAGGACTGGCCCAAGAAACCCCAGCCATGCTGCTTTGGGGATCTCCTGGGAGTAAGAGTCATCTGTGAATTGCCTAAAAACAGCCTTTTTGTACACACGTCCTATCCGGTTGGCTCCTCTTGTCGCATACACACTTGCAAACCTAGTGTGGGAAGGGAAAATAACTTAGAGACCAAAACCTCATTTAAGACCTGATCAAATAACTGGTGCTTGCAGTGCACATAAATAGTTCCCAGGGGTGTATCGCATAGCTGGTGGAATAAAACCTGAGGAATAAACCTGGAGAGTGCTAGGCAGGGTCCAAGTCCCTTTCTGTGCAGTAACAGTCATCTCTCTTGCAGTTCTGGTCTTTAGCATGGTTACTACAAGTCCTCACGTGAGGATCAGCCACTCAGGCCTTTCTATACAGTTTTAGCAGATTCTGCCTGTTTTGAAGGTTTGAAACCTAACATCTGAAAGCATGACTGTTCAGAAGGAAGAGAAAACCAAATAAGAACAATTCCAAGCAACTAGTTTGACACCCCAGAGGAGTGGCAGGAAATATTTTGCATTAAATACATCATTTCTACATTCCAGAGTCTGCTTAGAGCAACTCCAAATGATGGAGAACCCACCATAAGGTCAGTGGTTGACATATTATGGCTATTAAATACCTGCTCCCTTCAAATCCTGAATTGCATTTGTAGTCTAATATCATCTAGCTCCACACTTCAACCACTGGTTCCCATCAAGCCCTCTCTCAGATCAAAGAAACCACATACCATCAAGAACTTCTTTTCTATGCAGGCACTTGCATAAGTTTTAATTAATTGACTAAATTGCTTTCTACCCTTCTGCACAAACCAAGTACACTGACATTCTTCATGCCACAAATCTTTCCTGAAGCTCTTTTCTGAAAGTCTTCCATTATTTCTCTATATCTTTTGAAGTCTGAACACAAGAGCTTCACACAATAGGCAAGTAATATTCCAACTAAAGGCAGAGGTGCTCCCAGTAAATGTTTCTTACACAGATGGAAATTAGTTTTTCCCTTTTAACTGTAACATCACACTGCCAAGCCAGGCTCATCCCTTCTGTTATGATATAAAATCTTCTTTTACTTCTCTCCAAGTTACAGCTGACAAGTACGATACACATTCTTCATGCCCTTCCTTCCACAAAGAAGGTGGAAATGAACCCCTTTGTTACACAACCAGCAGTGGATAGAATGACAAATTTCACCGTAGTTGTCTACTCCATGAGTTTCTGCATCCCCTGAAGACTGTTTGAACTTTCATGTTTCCTAATAAACTCATAAAAAAGCTGAGCTAGAATTTTCCTGAAGTATCACAGGCAGAAATACAGCAATTTTGTGTTTAAAGTGAGTTTATCTGACTGGCCAATTCATCTGATTGAACCAGTTATATGTAGGTGCTTTTGTGCAGTGCCAGCAACCTACACGCTGGATGTCATATGAGATGAACTATAATCTACTATAATTTCTTCACCATAAGATCCATTACTCTCCCTTTTCAAGCCACAACTCACAACATCCCCCATCTGTGACCTCCATGACCACTGTCTAAGCCAGTCCCTGAAGCGATACAAAAGCCTCCAAAAAGAATGCTTTTTCATTGAAAAATGTGCTTTGTACAAATAGAGACATTGCCAATGATACTGCTGCAGCAGAATAAGTTGGCTAGGATGGAGGGCAAGGGACAGAAGCTTCTCAGTCTGTTGCTTCACAGAATAACGTGTCAGATAAATACACCTGAAAAGCGTGGTTAAGGACTGAGTTGCCAAGAAGTCTGGATTTTCAGTGAATTAGCAGGTCTGTAGTAACTGTCTGCATATGTAGCAAGACCTGGCGAGTCACACCATGCCCACCAAGAGAAGATACCTTCCAACACCTAGGGGGAAGAGCTGCTACAAGAGTACTACCACAAAGTAGTAGGTGGCATCAGCAGTAGTGCAGTGTAAATGCACATGCTTCCTTACCTCATGGCGATGCCTTCATGTGGCTATGCCCTAATTCGAATTAGAAATTGATTTTTAAAATGTTTTAAAAGAAATTTTCTGTAGGAAAATAAATAAAATAGATTTTTTCCCCTATTTTTTTTTCTCTCCAGAAAGTACTTATTTTCAGGAGATGTTTTTTCAGCAGAATTTTTCCCATTTCATCAGCCACCAAGTACTGTAAATGAGGTGCTGCAGTGGCACCATGCTTTCCTCATGACAACAGTGCCCTTATGCCCTTGGCTTTCTGGCCAGACAACATTGCACACTCTCCCACAACTTTACACCCTCAGGATACAGCCTCTCCTGCAGGAGAACTGTACCCCAGAAAAATGCACTTCTTGATCAGGCTTTGTCAGATGCTTGACATGAGTCTAAATCCTTTAAATGCATTGATTAGGGATTACAAAATCCAGTTAGGTTTTGAGGTTCAAGAAAACGCACAAAAACCCCTGTAGTTTTAGGCACTGGAGACTTTCTCATTGCCTAAGACATCCTGTAGCTTCTCTATTGTCTAGATCTGTGCCTGTCTTCTACTTAAAGCCATCTAGGAGTCAGGAAAAGAAGTCTTTTTAGTGCCAGCTTTCTGAAAGGAAGCCCATTCAAATCCTCCACTCATTCAGAGCTGCAGAGCCCACTGTCAGAGCAATGGGTATCAGGTGCAGCCAGTCACAGTGTAGGTGATGTTTTTCTGCGCAGGGCATCAAGCAACACAAGAGTCATGGAGCCAGAAACGGATCACAGCATGAAAGGAGCAACCTGGCCTCTTAGCCCTGGTTAATTATGGGGTTTGCTTAATCATTGTCCAAAAGAAAACAACCAATGAACTCTGGGAGAGAAATCATACATGCCACTGATGCCCTTGTTACAGACTCAGGTTCTTTCATAACTTCTGTTCCTCCTTTATCCACACTCTCCAAAGGACAGAAGTTTCCTACCCAAAATTCCCTGATGTTTGGGAGTTTCTTGGGTTGCAGACACTTCAGTCTCACTCCTCCTTCTGTCCAGGAGAGGTAGAGCCCAGTTCTTCTGTCTATACAGACATGTATTTTCGGCACATCCTTTAGGTTGCCCTCGGTACCCAGTAACAGAGCACACTGTGCTGTGAGTCTTACTCTAGGTGTCCAGACTGCCCCATTTCATCCAGGAAGACTTGGGTGCCCACCACAGCCTTGCAAGTAGGCAGTAGCTCTTTGCCTCTTTACAAGTGTAGTTGTGCTGCACATTGCAGTGCTCAAAGTCCGTTGCAGAAAGACTGCCCACGTTGGAGCTAGTGTCATCAGCCCTAGGAGCTCACAGAATCACAGAACAGTTTAGGTTGGAAGGGACCTTCAAAGGTGATCTAGTTCCAACCCCCCTGCAATGAGCAGGGACATCTTCAACTAGATCAGTTACCTAGAACCGCATCCAGCCTGGTCTGGAGTGTCTCCAGGGATGGTGCATCCACCACCTCCCTGGGCAACCTGTGGCAGAGTTTTACCACCCGCGTCGTAAAGATTTTTTCCTCACTTCCAGCCCGAATCTCCCTCTTTTAGCTTAAAACCTATCATCCTATCATAACAGCCCTGCAAAAAAGTCTGTCCCCATTTTTCTTATGGGCCCCTTTTTAGAACTGAAAGGCCGCAATAAGGTCTCCTTGAAGCCTTCTCTTCTCCAGGCTGAACAGCCCCAACTCTCTCACCTTTCCTCATAGGAGAGATGTTCCATCCCCCTGATAATTTTTGTGGCCCTCTTCCGGACCCTTTCCAACAGGTCCATTATCTCTCCTGTACTGAGGACTCCAGAGCTGGGCACAGCACTCCAAGTGGGGTCTCACCAGAGCAGGGTAGAAAGGATGCATGGGTACAAGCGACCTCTCCTCTGCACTCCCAGATGCCTGGATCATGAGCATGTAGCCACACTGTGGGGCTGCTATGTCTCTCCACCGCTACAGTGCAGCCAGAGATGTGCTGGAGGCAGCTGGCACAGCCCCAGTGCCATGGCCCCTGCTCTCCATCACTGGACCACAGAGCTTTTCCCCCCATCCTTCTTCTGTCTTTCAATGAGAGCTTCTTCTCAGTGCTCCATGAAGTCTCTGCTGCCAGTGCCGTTCATACCAGTGCATCACCCACCCCACAGTTCCTTCCACCCATCTCCTGAGTCCCCTGGAGATTTTCTTGTCTTCAGGATAGTGTCCTACTGACCTTTCATCTCCTATCTTTGACAACAGCTCTCAAACACCATTCCCTGTCTTCTTTTGATGATGTCTACTTCCTTGGGAAACACTTCATGTTCTCAACCACTGAGTTAAACATCCCCTTCAAATGCATCTCCTGGTTCATTCTTTTCCACCCACTGACTTTCCAATATGTTACTGCAGCAGGGATTTCTCTAACTGCTGTAATATATGGATGTTTAAACATCCAGTTTAATAGATGTTCTGTGAATCTGCCTTTGTCTCTTTCTTCCAGTGATCACAATTGGCCTATTCTACTGGATACTCCCTGTCAAAACATCTTTTATCTGTCATTTCTCTCCTGCCACAAGACAAACCTTCTGTCTGCTTCCCCATGCATCTCTGCTCACTTCAAACTGCTTCATCCTCCTGGTGGCTTTGTGATACTGCTGCCTGAACCTCTTCCATCTTTTTGATCTTGTGCCGATGTAAAAGCTGCTCTCCTAAGTCTTGTCTATCTCCCTCCAATGCGGTTGTCAGCCCGTGCTTCATGTACAGAAAGTTGTGATGATCAGCTAGTCCATCTCTTATAGGAAAAGGGAATTCTCCATCCTCTGGAGCTGTACCCATGCAAGCTTCCTGAATTCCCTCCATCTCCTCTAGTCAAGCCAGTCTTGAGGTTACATATAGAGGTATACAGGCTGTGAATCAGGACATAAAACATCTTGTTCAGACTAAGAAAGCCATGCAAATCCTGCCTTTTATTTCTGTGCTTGATCTCATTTTTCCAGTTGACCACTCTCAGCAGTTCTTAAGATCCAAGAAAAGTTGGCAGTGTACATGAGTGGGACAGGAAGTTATTAACAGAGAATTAACTCTAATTCCTTAAAATAAGTACGAACATAATTATAGACATTCATGTCCCTGCAATGATGAACACTACAACTCTTCCAAATGAGAGAAAGAGTAAAACAAGAGTGTCATGTAGATTC